TACAGGTTATTAAAACTAAATGCATTTCAATTTATTATTTCATGTTTGCTAGTCTCTAATAATATTCCTCATTTGGAAAATGCTGGTTTAGTTTTCTCAGTTTACCAGTCCTCTTTTACTACATTGTGATGTTTGATCTGGGAACACTTCAACATTTTTTCAATGGCTTTCCACTGGAGGTTTTTCTAAATTAAATAATCACAATTGCCAGTGCCTGTCTGTGCTTCCTAACTGCTGACTTTGTCTCTTCTCGTGAGACAACTAGATTTGCCTCTGGGTTGCATCGGAGAAGACAGGCTACTTTAAAGATTTGAAAGACGCAACAAAACCTGCTTGCAGGGCAGTCTGCTCCAAAGAGGCCAGCCATCCATAATGCACTCTGAAATGGAGGCATAAAATTCAGCCAGCTCCCTGTGTCATAGCGTCAGCGAGTTCTGAGTTCATAAGCAGGTCTGGTCTGGGTAGATCAGAGAGCTGCTAACGACTGTCACATCGTACTTTCAGGTTTCTGTACCCCAGAGTAAACTCCTATACATGTTACTTTATAAGTCAGGGATCCTAGCCTCTACTGGTCCATAAGACCTAGGTGAATCTTACTAGTAATAGAATATGCTGTGTTTAAGGGTCCACATTAAACTATGAAGTCGTGTAAACTTGTCAGGGAGCTGATGAGGGGTTGTGTACACTACTTGCATATAGATCCTGCAAGCACATAGGCAGCTGCAGATTCTGCCCCCTTGTTAACACAGCAGAACTGTTTAATAACATTCATTCTTAAATAAACATTAAGAATTTGTAACCTGTGACTTCTGTCATTTTCTTGCAGCGTTGTTTTGGCTTTTGAGCCAAATGTTTAATGTTAGCTGAAGTAACTTGTGCGATACAGACATCAAAACCCAACACAAATATGGCAGGGTTCTGTTTTTTATTCTAAAATTATGTCTTTGTACTTCAGTAATCCTGAAAGGACTCATAAACAGATGAAACAGAAATGATTACATCCAAAATACATTATGTGGTTATAGCAAAATAGCTTGCATATTTAACTATGAGAAAACACATACTTTAAATACAAAGTTTGGATTTTTATGGGATTCTGCCAGCTCTGATACCTCTTCTTAGAAAAGACCTTTTAGAAAAAAAAGTGATTTATATATGTGTATGGGTATATATATACATGTAGTTTTGAAAGGAAGTAGGCAGAGTTTCTTAACTATGATGAAACAGCTGCCATTTTTGTTGCAGCAATTCAAATCCCTGCATTTACTGAGAAAAATCCCTGATGTGTTTAGGACTGATCCTGTAACTACTCTCAGTCCTTTCCCACTTGTTTTAGAAAGATCCAAAAGAATGCTGCCGAGGCTTACTAACGATTGTGCAGTTCTTTGTGTATATTGACAATAGAAATACTTCACCCATGTAGAAATACTGGTACTATACATTGGCGATGTACATCCACTGAAAATGTTCTGCCTTCTGGCAAGGCAGCTCCACAAGTTACACAGTCTTACGAAAGAAATAAGCAATCCTGGTAAAAGTGAATGTAACTGCATGTATATACAGTGTCTTAGAAGCATCTTTAAGGGATTGTGCACCAGGCTGACGTGGTCGTCTTAGAAGAAATCTGTATTAGGTTTAGCTACAGAGAACACTGAAATACATTCTTACTAGTATTTTCTAATTGACAAATGCAGGTTAGGAAGACATCTCCAAGGTCAAGAAATACATTTGTAAGAATATGTCGTAAGTTGAGAGACACAGAACTAACTTTTCTTCTAATGCTGGGGAAAATTGCACTTTTAGAAGACTCTAGTGTCTGAATTTGTGAAAATATTTACTTTATAGCCAGCCAGGCTCTGTGGGATTCAAGGTTAGTATTTTCGAGCCTTGCCAGGTGCAGGGACAAGGAGGAGCAAGGCATGGACATTTGACCCAGGCTGGGCAACAGGATTATTTCATACCATGAACGTCACATTCAATATAAATTAGAAAAGTTTGCTGCATAGCTCTCTCTCCCTTGATGGCAGTGGGACCAGATAACTCCTTGCCCCAGTGCCAGACCCCTGAGGCCTTCCCTTCCTCCCGAAGCCATTGCACTCACAGTGTCCGACATTTGCTGTCCCTGCTGGGAGTGCACAGCTTCCTGCTGATAGAATGGGCTGAGGATAATTCCTGTATATCTTATATCAGGATAAGGATTAATGCTGGTTCTTTAGTATTATTGTTAAGTATTTAGTCTTAGTCTATTAAATCTATTTATATTTCAACCCTTGTGTTTCTTTGTGTTCCGTGATTCCCCTTTCCAGGTGGGGAGGGTCTAAATAACAATAGATTGTTATGGGTTTTCTCAAACCATAACAGAACATTTGCTCTTGTTTAAGATATTCAAAGTCATAGCTTCTTAAGGGTTCAGGCAGAATGCTTATGAGAGGATGCTGCTAAGGCTGGGATTCTTTTCATGAAAAAAGGAAGAAGAAAGGAAGGGGCTAGAATAAAGACTTAAGTACTTCTCTGTATTGACGTTGCTTCAAGCAGAAAAACAAGGTCCTTCCTCAGTTTGTTAGCAGTTATTCATCATATCATATCTTACTGAATTTAGTTGTGGGTAATTTATGTATAAAATTTATGTAAAAATAAGTATGTTTTTATCCAGAATCATTCAGCACACACACCCCATTTTTCCACTCTGCATTTCACTCCCAGTAACACTATCATCCAGCAAAAGACTTTTATACAACAAAGCCCCCTGCATCAAATTAGATCCACGAGGACCTATGTGGAATTCATGAGAACTTGAGATCAACAAAGACATTAGCTATTACTGCATTCTTTCGTCTAAGATCTAATATCAGCCTTAATTCAGCATTAAAAGACCTTACTCTAAGAGACTCTTTTTTCCCTAGAATAATGGAATATTTAAAGATTCATAAAACCATTGAGCTAAGGACATGAATGTAATTGAGAAGAATTACATTGAAAAGTAATGTGAAAAGGAAAAGCAAGAAAGTGCATGCAGCAGAGTGAGAAGGGGACCAGATTGCAGAGGAATATGTACTGGAGAGTAGGCAGAGAGAGAAAAAATAAGACGTGTAAATTTGGAATGTGAAATAAGGAACAGCAAAGCAGCTGCTATCAAAAAATAAATTGTACTGTGACCAAAATCAGTTAAATATAATTAAGCATGGATAAAAATATTTAGTCTCTTCTAGCACTATTCTTCTGTGTAAGCAATTGCTGGAGCACTAAGAATGGTACATAGTTAATGAAAATAGGTAATCAGTAAGATGCACTCTGTAAAGTTCATGGACCTTATATGATGATGATGAAAATTAGTAAATAAGAACTGGCTTTTCAGTGTTCAAAACTAGACATGGTGTAATTTCCAAAAAGACTTGATATGGCACAGAGTCTAGTAAGCAGGCTTTAAATGCACTGATCTTGCAAAAGACGGGCCAAATAAAAAGCAAATAGTATGAAGTTTCTGAGTTCTGCTCAATGGAGAAGTCAGATTCTTGTGGTCAGTGCTGAACAGTGCAGTGTTCCTGCAGATTACACGTTCATCTTAGTGCCACAGAAAAGGGAAGTCTAAGTTCAAGCAAGCATTACAAATGGAAGCAAGTGGAGGTCACGGCTTTGATTCATATTAGTACTGCAAATTATTGAGACACAAAGTAAGAGATCAGATCTTCATGAGCAGATCTGAGGTCCAGTGCTGAGAAAGTTTGGATTTCACATATGATGTATCCTTGAGATGACTGTGAAAGAGAGGGACCAATTCCTACTATCATACAAGTAGACTGGTGTTGCTTCCTGCGCACTGGATAAGGCAATCGGGTCTCTATACTGAGTGGTTTACATTTACTGAACCATCCAAAAACCCATCAAAAATTATTAGATTTCACCTTGTAGTCATGCAACGCCTAAGACATGACCCAAAGGTAACAGCAGAAACCTGCAGCAGGGATTTCTCAGGGAAAGCTGGACCACCCCGATCATCTGATGATGATGGGATTCCACCCTTCAACACAGAGTGACACAGAGTGACACCTGCAAAACAATAAGTTCTGCAGTTTTGTGTACAGCCTACACCCAAAAAAAAAAAAAAAAAGAAAGAGGGGGGGATTTACAAGATCCAGTCTTTAGCAAACAATATCTACAAGGAAGTGGAAGAGGGACATTTTACAAGAGCACATAGTGAGAGGACAAGGGGAGTAACAGTTTTAAACTGAAAGAGAGTAGATTTAGATTAGATACGAGAAAGAAATTCTTTGCTGTGAGGGTGGTGAGACACTGGAACAGGTTGCCCAGAGCAGCTGTGGATGCCCCATCCCTGGAAGTGTTCAAGGCCAGGCGGGAGGGTCCTTTGAGTAACCTGGTCTGGTGGGAGGTGTCCCTGCCCATGGCAGGGGGTTGGAACTGGATGATCTTTAATGTCCCTTCCAACTCTAACCATTCTATGCTACATTATGTGGATAAGCAGGACTTAGGGCAGCCCCTTGTTCACAGAAGCCATCTCAGACATTAGTGTTTTTCTCCTGATCATTTTACTTTAAAAGAGTATAGATTATTCTTACGTTCAGTCATACTTTTTCAACTTGTCAAAACATTATTGTCTTGGAAAATTGAGGAAAAGTAGTTTTCTTCACAGATAATAACTCTTAAGGTATAGTATCTCTCAGTGCAAGTACATCAAAGTCAGTGTATTTCTGCTTTATCGTAATTATTCTCCACTCTAACTGTAATATTATAGGATATTCCTAACCAATTCAATTAACATTTTTTTGAGAAGAAAAGAGGTACAGCTAATTAATTAACGTTACATTCTAAAAATTGATATACTGCCACCTAGTGCTTACTGAATGCACAACTGTACAGAGAAATTCCATTAATTTCAATAGCTCTTGGTTATCTATGGTTGGCCTACAGCAAAAGACTAAATCACCAATATGCATGTAGTCACATACAGAGAGAGCTTACCTAAGAACAGTAATTGGGAGTAATTTACACTGTGAAAAGTGACACAGTACACTGAAAGAATCAATCTGAACATATATTGTTTCCTATGCATATGAATAAGACGGAAGGATCAGTATTTGCAGAGTCTACAGCACTTGAAGGGGCACTCAGCAAAAATGAAAAATAGTGTAGATTGGGAAAGAACGAGTGGGATATAGTTCATACATTGTACAAATTCTTCTGTTGTACAAAAAAGCAATGAAATCAAAGACATTAAAATATTAAAAGATTACACTCAGGGAGTCATAACCATCACAGAGGTATAGTTACTGCATATAATTTTGCACAGAGATTGCTCATAGAAAGTGAAAAGCATATCATGCTGCTATCCAAGAAATTTATTAAATCCTTGTTTGGAATTTAAAAAAAAACCAAAAACTACAAGGTATTGTAAACTCATTGTAAAGATTGAGAAAAGAGGTCAGGATCAGTACACTTAACTATGCAGAATGTCTAGTAAAATTTGACTCTTATAAAAAAAAAAAAAAAGAAGGGAAATTTAAGTCAAAGATAAAAGTATGACAAGGTTTAGTCCAATAATTCTGGTACAAGTAGATGCTCATACAATGAATAGTTTATTATGGTGTTACTGGAGTACAATATGTCTATGCAAAAGAAGAACATTGTGATCCAGACTAATACACCAGGGAAAACGCAGGTATCTTCAGAATCTAAAATATTTGAAAGACTACCTTGTCAGAATGCTAATACTTAACCATACAGGCTAAAAAGATAGTTTATGGAAGCTAGTTCTTGACATACTCATTTTATGATTTGCAGAAAAAATACTTAGAAAATAGAAAAAGATGGGGAGGAACACCCATTCCTTGAAATATCATCCTCTGTATTTACTTTAATTTTATTAGTAGTTTTCTTGAGACAAATTATCTCAAAGGTTCCTCTTTTTCAATGACAATTACCCTAGATGGTAATATAATCTGAACCTAAAAATTTTCAGAAACAGCTCTGCATTTCCCTTTATATAATTCAAGCAAATGTTTGTCATATTCTGATGGCTTTATAATATAATATAAACAGAAATGTGATTTTGAAAAATCAGAAGAAAGTGATAAAACCCATAGTTTAAAATCACTCTGCAGAGGGAAAACTTTTCACTCAGCAAATTAGGCATTTGCTTAAGCCCTAAACCATTTAAAAATCTAAAACTCATCTTTAGTGCAAAGTAAGCAAGACACATTAAGCTACTCAAAGTTTGATTTATACTTCTGGTATATATTTCTCGAAAATAAATGTGAAACAAAAGTTGTATCCCTTATTTAACCTCAATTTATTTGCTTTTGAATACAGCTGGAAATTGAGCAGAATTCAAGCTAGAGCACCCATTCGGTTGTTCACAATTCTTTCATTCACTGTTCTGTTACGTCCTCTGTCTCATCTGTATTAAGAAATCAAAATTCTCTCTCTATAGCTGTATTAACCTTTATCTACCTATTTTCATCAGCCCTATCTCTGGACTTCATTATGGACACAAAGGACATTTTGCTAAATAATTTGTACTAATAGATTAGCTGAATTAACCAATGGCCACGTTAAGCCTCCAGCACTCAAATTTGTATATTAATTGGTGAAAGACTGAAAGAGCTTTTATTAATATCAGTATTATGCTTTTCTCTTTTCAATAGCTTGCATTTAAAGGCCACAGAATTTTTAATGGGCATTTTATTTATGAAACCAAAGCTTCATAGCAAGTGGCAGCTTCTGATTACATGATTACTGTGTCTAAACGGCCCCATGCTGTTCACCACAAAAATTTTACATTTGCATGATGTGAAAATCTGAAACTATACATGGAGAGAAAGGTTCCTTTATTTTAAAGGTATTCAGCAGTGAACTGGTTTTGAATCTCCATGGGATCTTAAAAACTTACAGAAGCTTGAAATAAAACAAGTACCTGTGAAGTGTCAGTAATTTGAGGCTAGAATATAGATTGTGCTTACTGCAGTATGACTGTCAGGACTATTACAACCAATTCATGCAAATAAAATTGTCTTTACTGTTATTTTTACCTTTTCACTTCCCATTTGTATTTTTAGTCATGCTGGGATCTGTCACAACTCCATATGCTCAGAGGAGAGACTGTATTCTTTATATAGAGCTGAATACAGTTGAAGTACTAATTGGACCTGCAATATGAATAAGAAACAGTAATGATTATTACACCTTATAGTTGAATTTTAAAAAGGTTGTGAGCCCAATCATGTTTCCATTCACGCCAAATTTCAAATAAAACCAAGAGTAAGAAAAGTAGGTATTAGGCCTCTTTGTGAGAATACAATTGTGAAAGTTAGTCCCCAGATATTGTAATTATTACTGATATGGAAAAGGTTATGTGCAAGTACAGTATTTATTTAATTTAATTTATTTAATCCTGGATATCTAATCTACACTAGCTTTCCTTAAGGGCATCCGGCAAATAAGGACATCATAGCATGGCATTATTCAACTATACTACATCTTTTTACCTTACCCTTATCAGATAGCTTCATCATTTCCAATGGAGTTGCAGAGGAAATAATTTAAGAACAGGCCATATCTTAATCTGTTTTAGACTCCCCAGCACTAGGTCAGCTCCCAGGAGAAGACCTTCAAGTCACGTGTGCTAAAATGACAATATCTGCAAGATTTACCAGAAGATGGAACAGGAATTGAGCCAAAGAGAATCTTATTTCATTAAGACATTGTTTGCATCATTAAAACCTTACTTACATCATTAAAACATCTTGCTATAAAAATTACCTGTGAATCTAGTGATTAAAATAATATATCAAAACCAAAACACAGATTGGGTGATCTACCAAGAACAAGAGTAGACTACTACTATTAAGATTATATACATATTTTAGGTAAGCCAGTTGAAACTGGCAGTCACATATTTCTAAAAATTCTAACTGGTGTTGTGTACAGTAAATATTTATGTTCTTCAATTATTTAAACTTATAATTTTTCCCCAACTGTGCTCTTCAGTAACCTGTTGAGAACACGTCATTTTCCATTCAGTAGAAACGACACTTACCAGACATGTATTAAATCATACATATTCAAATGAGTCCGTAAATGTAAACTTCCTGAGACTTTAGAATTCTAAAATTATACCCAAAATAATTTATTTGTTAGATTTTATTGCAAACACTTGTCTAATGGCATGTATCAGGCACACTGGATATATATATGCAAGCCATTGAACATATGTGTTTTGCAAATATACATTAGACCAAATTTCCAAATCTCTGAACATAGATTGTTAGAAAATTATCTCTGAACAAGCACAGAGAAATGACAACAGCAGCAACTGTGTTCATGTTTTAAATAGTATGTTGCTGATATAATGTAGATGAAGTATGTGTTTCTCACCTGACTGCACTGAGTATCTGAAGAAACAGGCTAAAACCAAGATTATAGCTAGCATATAGTATTTCATGGAGACTCGCAGCAGAAGGAGGAGTACTTCTGCAATTGAAATTATTATGTTAATAAAAATGTAGTTGCTTGAGCTTGGGTGTCCAAGTGATGAATCAAAACCCTGATTTTAGGCTTCTTAGTTCCTAACTCTTTGAACAATTGTTCTAAATCACTTCATTTTTTAAAATTATATCTCTTTCGCCCCTACTGTTTCCCCTCAAATATCATCCTTACCAAATTTAGAATCCAAAGCACCCCAATTAAAGGACAAATACATGTGTGCATTCATAAGCATGCATGTAAGCAAGCAAACAAAATGAGGGAAAATGAGAGAAATAAATATGCAGATCAGCATTTTATCCAGGCATAAATCAAAGCAATAGCAGTTAAGCAATACAAAATGATATGTGACCCTTTTTTATAAAAGACTTAAGTGTTATTTTTATTTCTTCAAAAATTTAATGCTATTTTAATTTTTAAAAAACTGCTATAAAGTATTTTTAAATCAATATAGATTTATTTATACTACAAAAAATATTCTGGCCATTGTCATTAACTGGCATTACTGTTAACTCCTTGGCCGTGTGACTAGTTACAACACACTGCACAGTAGCATTTCTGGTTATTCTAGAACAGATGTGCTAACCAGAACAGACATTGTTCCTCCTTGCAAAACAAACAAAAAGTAAAAACTTTGTGCTTTTCAAGCAGAGCAAAATCTCAGACAAAGGCTCTACGCAGGTAAGTTGTATAGTTGTACAAAGAAATGGGAAGCTCTGGCAGTCACACCGTATCCTCATTAAAATTGCACAATCAAATTTCAGACTAATCTATTGAACCACCCCTATTTTTGATGTTTGTTAGATCTGTGTATATGTAGACCACACCTGCCAAGCTCACTACTTGGCAAGGCAGAACACCTTACAAAAGTAACGCTGGTTACTTGAACAGCAACCAGTGAATTGAGGCCTCACTTCAGTGTCACAGAAAAACTTTGTTATCTGGCTGCTGATCAGTAGGATATGTGTTCTTGTGAGGAAGGAAAAAAAGAGGAAGCAGAGTACAGAAAAGAGAACATTTATGCTGAGAAAGTGGAACTGAGCAGGCTGTTATCACTGGAACTGGAACTACTGAAAACAACAAGTTTAAGGCTTGTTTTTCATTTAAGGTAGTTGCCCAGGTCATTAAATATGTGCATCTATGTAAAACAAGAACAAAGTAATCATAGAATCATAGAATGGTTAGAGTTGGAAGAGACCTTAAAGATCAGCCAGTTCCAACCCCTCTGCCAGGGGCAGGGACACCTCCCACCAGACCAGGTTGCTCAAAGCCCCATCCAGCCTGGCCTTGAACACTTCCAGGGATGAGGCATCCACAGCTTTCCTGGGCAACCTGTTCCAGTGTCTCACCACCCTCACAGTAAGCAATTTCTTTCTGGTATCTAATCTAAATCTCCCCTCTTCCAATTTAAAACCGTTACCCCTTGTCCTGTCACTACACTTCCTGACAATGAGTCCCTCTCTGGCTCTCCTGTAGGCTCCCTTCAGATATTGGCAGGCTGCTATGAGGTCTCCCTAAGGAGACCTTATGAGATGCTATAAGGTATAATGCAAGCTACAAATGTAAATGCTATTGGTGGGAGGTTTCCGTGGGATATTTTCTACAAAAAGATGCCCAAGAAATTAACAGACATTAAAAACTTGGGACAGCCTGAAGAAGCCCATACCTCAAAAGCAGCTTTTCCCTTTTGGCACTTCTGCAGTCTTTCAAGCGAGGCAGAGCCACGCCAGCTGTTCAGGGTGACAACCCTGGCTTCTCTTAAATAGCACATGAAGAACAATTCCATCCTGGAGATTATACTATCTTCTTGTCTTTCAAGACCGTGGTACACCTTTGATCCTCTTCAGCATCCTCACCAACATCAGCTCAAGGCTCTGGGATGGTCTCATAAAGCAAACAGGAGGTTAAGAAACATTCACAGATGAACGGAGCACAAAACAGGTAATACATAAGCTGCTTTGTAAACTCATACTACGCACACATACCAATCACTGCTATTTCAGAAAGGCTACAGCTGGAAAAGGTGAGATAAGCTAATGAAGACTAACAAAGAATAACTGAAGTGGTCAAGGACTATTTGGCATACAAAAAGGTCTCAAGGAGTAGTAAGAAAGAGATCCATAAAGCAAGTAGCAGAGATACCATGAGTGGCCATAGTCTCTCTCAAGAACAAAGCGTCATAAAATGAAATTAGCAGCGGGCAGGTTTTAAAGAAAATGTGTTTCTTCACATTTCTTCATACAGCATACAACCAGGCCAGAAATATCTTTGATGACTGACTATGTGCCTTGTGCATGCTAAAACTTTCCATGGTCTGGAGGGGCAACCAGACACGTTTGTGGAGAAGATCCTCTGGAAATAATTAAGTGTGGAGACTGTCCCTTCCTGGGGAAGTCCCTGCAGACGAATGTCCAGCCCTGGGAAGAGGTGACTGCACAGCAACCCGAAAGCGACACTGCGCTACCTCTGTCCCCGCACGGTTTTTCTAGCCACCTGCCACTCCACACCCCGACTCACCTGAGCCACCTGCCTCCCAGGGCCACCAGCCCCGGGCCTGCGTTAACTAGCCCCCCTTTGAAACCCAGTCCCGGGCTGCCGAGCCAACGGGACGGAGCCTCGCCAAGGGAGGGAGCGGTAACCCGGGGCCGCCTCAGGGGGTACAGTTTCGGGCCCCGGCTGCCAGCTTGCAGGTCCCGCTCCGTGAGGTGGCAGGTCCTCACCCCCTAGGCAACACACACGGCCTGGACCCAGCGCCGGCCGAGAGGAGCGGGAGGTGGCGGGGCCCGTACCGGGCCCGTATCGCGCCCGCCGGCTGCAGCTCCGCCCCGGGGCCGGCGCTGCGGCGGGGCTGAGGCCCAATAGCGGCCGGGGCCCTAATGGCGGGGCGGGGCGGCGGGGCCTACGCCTGGCCTGGCGGCGGCCGGGCCGCTGGTTAAGTGCGGACGGGGCGGCGCAGAGGGGGAGTGGAGATGGCGCTGCCGGCCGGGGGTAGGCGGCGGCAGGACCTGGACAACGTGAGTGTAGGGCTGCGGCGGTTCCTCCCGGGGCGGCCGGCTGGGCCGCTGGCCGCGCACGGCGGGCGCTGTCGGGGTGGGGGCGGCCTTCGCTTTCTCTTTCGTCTCTTCCTTCCCCTTCCCTCTGTTTGCTGTGCGGGGCGCCGGAGGCTCTCTCCTCTTCCTCCTCGCCTTCCGGGAGGAGCCGCCGGGCGAGGCCTCGCCTCAAAGGCCGTTTCGGAAGCGCCGAGGCCGCCCCCCGCGCTGCCCCTCCGCAGGCGCGCTTGAAATACGCACACACACACACCCACACCCAGGGGTTGGGTTGCTTTTCATCATGCAGCTTGTTCCGGGTTATTGTTTCTTTCCGCGGGCGGATCCCCGGAGCGTGATCTCTGGTTTACCCGCTGCGCGCTGGCGGGATCGCGGCCTCTCGCTGTTGGTGGGGTGTTTCCCCAGGTGGAAACCCGGGCGGGCAGGGCTGGCTGTGCCTCTGCCTGCTCCTGCCTTCCTCCTCCTCCTCCTCCTCCTGGCGCTGGGCCGCCGTGCGGGCCCTCACAGGCTGGAAGCGGGTGAGGGAGCCCGGAGGCTGAAGCCTTAACCTGTGCTTGTGGTAACAGCAGAGCCTAACGGAGGGCCTGTTTTTTTTAAGGTATTTTGGCTTCCAACAGCTGTGGGTTTAGCTCATTGCAGTTAAATGAAACCTGTGTTTGATCTAATTAGGGCACTTACTAGGTTTTCGTAATGCTGGATTGCCTGTATGGCATCGTCTCTCTTGCTTTAATTCTCCTTCCCCCCACGTTGCCTGTAATAACATCTGTTCAGGGAGGTTATATCACCTAGTGCTTCCTAATGCTAGCTGTGTTGCAGGATGCAAAGATAGATGACGAATCGTAGCTGGTCTTGTGGTAAGTAATGTGGCCACATGTGTGGCCAAGAATGCCACAGCATCCTGGCCTGTCTCAAGGATAGTGTGACCAGCAGGCCCAGGGAGGTGATTGTCTCCCCGGTACTCAGCACTGGCAAGGCTGCACCTTGAATTCTGTGTGCAGTTTTGGGCCCCTCACTACAAGAAAGACACCGAGGTGCTGGAGCGTGTCCAGAGAAGGGCAACGAAGCTGGTGAAGGTTCTAGAGCACAGGTGTTACAAGGAACAGCTGAGGGAGCTGGAGTTGTTTAGCCTGGAGAAAAGGAGGTTCAGGGGAGACCTTATTGCACTCTATAACTACCTGAAATGAGGTTGTAGCGAGGTGGCAGTTGGTCTCTTCTCCCGAGTAACAAGTGCCAGGACAAGAGGAAACATCCTCAAGTTGTGCTAGAGGAGGTTTATATTGGATATAAGGAAAAATTTCTTCACTGAAAGGGCTATCAAACATTGTAACAGGCTTCCCAGGGAAGTGGTGGAATCACCATCCCAGGAGGTATTTAAAAGGAGGGTGGACATGGTTTAGTGGTGGTTTTGTCAGTGTTAAGTTGATGGTTGGACTCGTTCTGAAAGGTCCCTTCCAACCTAGATGATTCTATATTCTGATAGAGCTCTGTGAAAGGTTGTGCTGATCTGTTGTGGTACTGCAGAAATGATGAGTTCACATCTTCCCATGAGGCAAAGGATCTTGGTTTAAGGAGGATCACTGTCTTTCTGGGAGGTGTGAACTGTTAGGTATCCTATTAGCTCTGTACTGGGGTGGAATGAGGCAAGATGTCTTGGCTGCTGGAGTGCTGGTCCTGCACACTTGCTTTCAGAGCTTAAAATTATACCTAGCCCCTGAAAATAAGGGTTAAGAGGGCATTTTTGTATACTTACTTCTGGATTTTGTACCAGTGACGTAAGACAAGGGCCATTTGTAAACCTTAAGGTCTGTAGTAAAAGGTCATCTTAGCAGGCAGGTATTTCAGCAAGGTTCTTTTCACAGTCAAAGACTGGGCTAATTAAAAGGTATCAAATAGGTGAGGGAGGCCTGTTCACACTCTTCTATGGTTGGGCAAGTGTGGCATTCACGTTACTAAAATAAAACTGCTGACTGAAATAACCTTGATGACTAATTCCTTCACTGTAGGCAGCTGTCTGTAGGTGAAATAACACTGGGGAGCCAATCTACATTGTCCCAGCTAATAGGAAGTACAAACTTAGGTCTAATCACAAAACTTCTTTATCTCTCTCTTGTGTTAGCCCCTAGAAGAATGGCATCCCTCCCTGTTTTGAGGCTCATGCTGTTTTCTGTCATGGCGATAGGAACTCCTCAGTTTAAAAACAGTAAATACCCTAGTGAACCCTGGCATATCTCTCTGAATAGTCACAAGTGTCTGCTGTTGTCTTGTTCTGGGCTGCAGTTGATATCGCTCAGGAGAAGAGGAGCCAAAAACTTGAGTTTCTTTATCTTTTGAAGCAAGCAAGTCATAGCATGAGACATAGAAGGATGCTAGGAGGGAAACTTGAAGAGTTTGAGTGTTTGTAGTGGCTGTGTATGTTTAGCTTGAGAGATATTGAATGACTGTGTCCTGGCCTGGAGGGAGCAGAGATGCATAGCACTAGGGTAAGTTCTGTGTGTCTACAAAGAAAGGTTTTTCCCCTCTACCCATTTTTATTTTTTTTTTTAAAGTAAAAGGTAAAACTAAGAGGTATTTCTGGAAACTTACACAGCCAAAACATGTGAACTGAACGTGAAGTCAAAGACCCAATACTTGGTGCCAATGTGACAAGTAAGGGCTGCATGGCCTCAGTGAAAGCAGAGGATGTCTTGTCCAGCACTTCATAGTGTCGTCTTCCCCCTGTGAACTGCTTTCTTGCCTGGCTTCAGTTTGAACTATTGCTGCAGGTGTTTCAATGTGTTGTTGTCTGAAGCACTTGAAACTGTTACCAACATGCTGTAGCTGACTTTATTGCCACAAACTGTAGTAGGATGAAAGTAAGAATAACAGGGATTTTTGTAGTACCTGTGTAAAATATGTACGAGTTTGTCTCTTTTTCCATCTTTTCATGTAAACATACTAGCACTTGTGGTCTCTTTCAGCAGAGATGCTCAAATATTTTTAATACATTTTAAATACTACAGTTCTTGAAGTCTCAGTGTGGTGCTGGGAGGTAGTATCAGACTCTTTAGGGACTGAGTTCTTATGCAAAGATGGGATGAGAGGTTACCTGGAACTTAAGAGCTTGTCTCAAGATAGTAACCTAGTTTTTTTTACCCCAAAGCTAACAGGAAATTGCTAAAACTTTGTACTTCACTTTTAGAGCTTACCTGTTACTACTCTTTTCCCTCCTCTTCTGTTCCAGGGTTCCTTGGAAATAACACAGAGTTTGGAAGATGATCCCCTACTTGATGCACCGCTTATTTCGTCTCATACACTGCATTCCCAACTGAGGCCAAGATTTCATGCCATCCCAGCAGTTCTTCTTGCCAATTTTCTGTTGCTAATACATGTAAGTTTAAGAAGCATGACTTCCTTATGAAAACTTGCTGTCTGTATTCTGAATTCTTAGTGTACACATGGACAGCATTCTCCTGAGATGTGCATACACTGTTCTTCCAAACCAGTGAAGTCCATTTGCCAATGAATTTTGATAATGTATATGCCACATGATATTTGCTGAGTTCTCATTCTGATTGTTTGTTGACACTAACATGCTACAACACATCTTGTGAGGAAGAAAAGCCTTTTAAATAGTAGTTCTTCTATGCTGTTGAAAATGTACTTCTAAAATAATATCACTGCTGGAGAATTGCTCATACTAGTTAGAGACTTAACTGAAATGGTACTTGCATGACACTGAGGTAAATGGTTTAGTGGTGGACTTGGTAGTGTTAGGTAAACAGGACTTAATGATTTTAAGGGTCATTTCTGACCTAAATGACTCTATGATTCTATAATGCCCCTAACAGTGACCTGAATATAGTATGTGTATAAAGCCAGAAAGTGGTTAAGACATAACATGTGTATGTGTTGCTAGCTATTTTAGAGCTTCATTTGATCTCAAACAAAAAGTGCAGTGCCCAGTGCTCTGCAAAACATGCTCTCTGGCAGAACTTTAACAGCACATACCAACCTCTAAGGTCTCTCTTTAGGCGGCTGCATAAAGCTGTTCAAACAATATACCCTAGCCTTCCAGTTTTGGAAGTAAATTTTTTGTGATCCTCATGGTAATATCAATAAATGTCCCTCTGTCTGTCGCAAACTTAGGAAATACTTCTGCTGTTTTGCTGAATAAACTGCCAAACTTCCCAATGGAAACTGCATATCCAGCCTTATTCCCTTCCACTAGCAGAACCACTGGTGCCATCCCATTAGGATGGCACTTGAAGTCTGCACTATGAAAGCAGACACTGCTCTTGGTAGTAGAGCAGTGGATGTGTTTCAGCCTAGCCTTGGGTTGGGGCCTTGCTGTCTATTACTGATGTAGTCAAATGTCAGTCACCCCAGTCCTAGGAAACCTCTGTCTCTTCTGTCCCCATCACTTCCCCTCCCCTGCAAAGGGAGAGAAGTGTGGGGAGGTGAAGAGAGAAAACTGCTGAGGCCTCTGAGAACATACACTCCTCCAGGTAAAGTTCTTACTGAACTTGCTGCAGTGGCTGGTTGGTCCTTAGAGCAAAATGGAGAAGTATCCTTTTCTGTTGAAATACAACATTTTTAATTGCCACATGAAATAGTGCTGTCTCTCTCGGTGAAAAGATGGATGGGGAAAACAAGCTTATAGGATTTCCTTCCTCTCTGCTTCTGCAAACTTGCACAAACCTTGTGGAATGTAGTGACACCAGGTTAGCTTCTGATGCACAGTCTGCTAAAGGGACAAAACTTTGCTAAACTGGAGAAGTTAAGCCATCATAGTATTACACGGTAGAGTTGTAATTATCTCTGCAGTAATTTGTGTGTAATGTGAAGTATTTCTCCTCCACCCTCCTGTGCCAAGAAACAGGGTTGGGTGGCAAATAGCTGCTTTGGTGCAGCTGCCTAGTTACGTACAATTCTGGAGTGTGCAGGTAGGATATGCTGGAGTGTGGTGGGGCTGGGTTTTCAAGTGATTTACGTTTTGCTAAGCCTTGCATTTCTACAGGCTTCTGGCTCTTATCAGGAGACTCTGGAGAGCAGTGGAAAGTGTGCAGGCTAGAAATAATTTATTAACCCTGTCCTTCCTTAATCCCCTCTGTATGCACATATACAAAACTGAACTTAAAAACTACCCCAAGAATAACTTTTTTGTATAAAAACCCAATGTACTGGGGTGAAGTACCTGTTCTTAGGCTGCCTTAAAGTGTAAGCAGTATGTCTTTAATAAATGACACTCTTAATGCCAGCTACCTGTGTCCTCTTCTATATACTGCTGTAGTAAATTACTAGAGCTGCAATGCTAGGCCATTCCTGCTTGCATCGGTTTAATATAGCCATTTTCTGTGCTGTACATTCCTAACACCTGGAGGGAGTAGAACTAGATATGTTAGTGGTTTAAAATGGCAAACCAAACAGTAAATGGACCAAGTAAAATATAGGTTAGCTGGATTATTCTTAGCTTTGTAAGAAAAGGCTGTGGTAAAATGATAGATTAAACAAATGTTTTGTTGATAAATCTTCCTTCTTATTTTACTTCTTAATCTAGCTACTTAACCCACCTCAAGATAATTTAGGATTTAATTTGCATTTGAAGTAATGGCTTTATGGATAACAGAGAACACACTCTTTTTTTTTTTTTTTTCCCACCTTCTACCCTGTATGTCCGCTATACTGTCTCTTTTAAAGAAAGATTACCAACTGGCAAATATGACTACCCAGTGTTAATAATTCACTTCAAGTTACCATGATGATGTTTCACTTTTTTCTAGTGTCACAATCTGGGGATTATCTTTAATGGATTTAGTGAAGGGTTGACTTTCACTTATGAAATGTCAATTGGTACAAGACTGTACCAGTAAGTTACAGAGGCTGTCCTGCAGACCAGTAACAAGTGTAATTGAGTCTAAAAGATGTGATTCTTTTGGTTTTTTGAGGGAGTATGTCAAGTTTGCATTACAGTAAAAAGACATGGTAAAGAGGGTCCAGAGGTAAGAGAAACTCACTATGAAGGGAAGACTTGGATAATAGTGAAATTGATTTAGAGGAAGTCTCCTGGGAAGAGTGGTCTCAGCTCTGTTCGGCTGGAGACTGGTTGCTCACCTGGAGGACAATCTTTCTACTTAGTAATTTCAGTCATGAGTATGTTCCCCGAATGACACATAGTGGTTGCAGTATGCATCTAATGTTTTATGGTATTTCAACTCTAATAAAATCAATTCAGAAAGTAATGCATAATGAATAAAATACATAAGTCTGTCTTTTTTTTTTATAGTTAAATGTTGACTTTAAGAGTTTTCCTCTCTCTTCCTTTCTCTTCCAGGTTGCTTTTGTTGTTCTAGCATTTTTAGCAGCTATGTTTTGTTCTTACCCCAATCCAAATCAGGATAAATGTCCTGGAAACTATACTCACCCACTTAAAGTACAGACTGTCATAATCATTGCAAAAGTAATTTTGTGGATTCTGCATGTTTTTTTTGAACGATATGTCCAGCACCACCACAGTAAAGTCAGAAGCAGAGGCTACTTCTCAATATACCGATCAACAAGACATCTAAAAAGGCTCCCACTGCTGATACACTCCACAGGTGAAGTGAACTTGTTTTCATGGGGTTTTTTTCTTCTAAAGCTTTAAACCAACAATAAAAGACTGAACAGTGTATATATAAGTATATATTATGTATTGTGAACTTCTAAAAACCTGCCTATGAGCACTTATAAATTATATTTATTTTAGTCAGATGGACCTCCTGATTGACCTTTCTGGCCTTCCAGATGCATGTTGTAAAGAACTCTTTGTAGTGGAAAAATGCCCACAAGTAAGTGTGAGCTTGAGTAAAACATCTAGTCGTTTGCATCTAGTCTTCAGCCATAAAACGTTCAGGCAGCAAGGTCTGTTTGGCTGCTAGTGATCTTGATTTGCATACTCATTTGTCTCATTGGATATGTGGCAAGACTGCTAGTCCTTCCAAGAAGTGTGCTACTCTTCAAGCTCAGCAATTCAAGTAGAAACAGATGAATTGCCTGTTGCTCAACAGCTGTCTGGAATCAGTAGAATAAGCAGTCTTCTAATCTCCAGCAAGGCTATGTGTAATGTTTATTCATCTCTACTTCTGACTCAATTTTTCTACGTTCTATGGATAAAGGGTGGTGTATGAGTGGTTTAACTATATATTCTGTTACATCACTGGCCATTGCACCTGGAAGTATTATTACAGTTAGTTGGTGTAGCTTTTCTAACAACCTACTTCAACAAATCTAAAATCCATAATCCATCTAACTTAAAAGGATTTTTCATACAGAAATAACAGGAAAAGTGAACAGTGGTGGCTTTTATGGTATTTTTGCCTCTTATAACCCTGCCTCCCTTCTGTAAATCTTCTGAATAACTAGAGTAGAAATTTTTTCACCAGAATTGTTAAGTTAGAAGGTCCTGCTTTTTATAAAACCCTAGCTTTCTTCCCATCCAGTCACTGCAAGAGCTAGTTGCCTTGATGAATCTGCAGAACTTCAGGCTATGGCCACTAGATAGAGCTCTGAAGATGTCTTTGGAGTGCAGGGACAAAATCGGGTTACAGCAGGTTTAAGGATGTTTCAAAGGACAGTAAAAGGACTGTTTCTGCCTATCACAGTGTAATCTGAAATACTTTGCCCTGTCTTCAGTCTTAGACTGAGCCCCATTCTCCATTAGCAGACAACCTCTGTGTGTGTAAATGTTGAAGGTGCAGTCAGTTGTGTTCTATGGGTTTTTGATCTATGTCATCTGTAGTTCAGAAGGTAGTTACTGCAAACTCCCTGCCATGCTAGTTGCTGCCGGTACCGCTTCCATCCTGATAGTTCAGTTGCCTAATGCAGTACGAAAGAGAACTATACAGTCTTATAGCTACATTAACAGTCTTAATACACTTAGTGCTTTATCCAGGCACTGGTTGTAGCATTTCTACAGGAAAGATAAGAACATTTCACACTGTAACAGAGAAGAGGGTATGTAAAGAATTAAGAATGTATGTAGGTCTGTAACTCAACACTTAACTCTCCTTGACTGTGCTCATTTTAGTTAAATTTTCAATGACTTGCACGTATTAAAATAATAGGCAGACAACTGGAAACCTGTGCAAGTATCTGCCTGTGAGAGAAAGGTGTTTGGGTGTCTCGCTCCTAGCCTCATTGAAATAAACTCAAATCCACCACTTGAAGGAAAGCACCCTCTCATTTTGAATTGACTGATGTGACCTTTTAGGAATTTAAAGAAATTAATAGTCTCCAAGCAGTTTTGGGGATGGACAGCAGCAACAAGGCTAGAAACGGATTAAACCCACATGTGTATATTGGGTATTTCTAGTCCATTTCTCCCACTTTCTTTTATTTAAAGTGGAGAAATTGATGAGGAAACTCGTAATTCTCTACTGTTACAGTCAAATGCTGAAATTAAATGTAATTTTCTGCCAGCAGTTGTGATCTTGTATCAACTGTGTTAAGGAAATTAGCCAAAGAGGCAAGTATGGTATGAAATGGAAATGCATTATTGAAATGTTGCAGCCTAATGCAGGTACTAGGGATGAGAAAGTAGTAAGTAACTTTCGACAGCTAATGAAACTGTTACACCTGTAAAACATAATATTTGTTTTCTAGGTAATGCAGCCCTACTTTTGATTCTGTCAATACAGCATTCCTTTCCTGATCGCAGTAAAGTGTACCTGTATCTTATCCTGGGAGTCCTGGGCCTGGAGCTGATTAGTTCCCTGACATGCTTAGTGATTTACACAGGTGAGAACCAGTTTTTGCCCTCATGAGTGAGACTTTCTGTAGCTGTTACTCAGCTGTTTGCTTGCCCTCACAGTAGCTCACTTTGGTTACAACAAAATATTTAACTGTAACTATAAATATGGAAAGATTCTGTGCTTGTAGGAGAAATAAGGCAAATCCAAAACAAATGGGAAGGTTATCAGGCTTTACTTGGTCTCCAAATGCTGCTAAATGAAAGCTCTGTTACCTCAAAGCTGTTGATCCAGTGAAGTGGCAATAAATGCATAATTGTTGAAAAGCGTCCTGTAAACAAGCTTGTGTGTGTTCTCAAATGTGTGCACCACAAGCTGTGAAGCAGCAAGAGCTAGCTGGCATTGTCAGAACTGCTTCTGGGATTTACATATGGTACTTGCATCATTGATGGTATGATGTACCTTTTTCTCCAGACTCTTCCACCCCAAAAGTGACAGTTCCTCTTTGTCACTAAAATGGAAGATTCCCTCAAAAAAAAAAAAAAAACTTGGAATCTGTGCTAATACTGAAACAAGATATTTCCTCACAAAACTGAAGCATTGCTTTGTACTGTCACTGTTAGCTTGTAAGGTTATCTGCTTTTAGATTTGGTGTCATTTACAAAGACTTGATAAACCTCTTTCCATTATATATTGCAGAACCATCTAAAAATCTTGATTAAGACATGCTTGAACCAAATAGTTTTCTCTGATTTAATCTTAAAAAAACTATTTGGGTTTATGGCTTGCACTAACTCCAGTGAAAATAGATTCATTGGAGGGGGGGAAACAAACCACAAATAAAACCAACCAAAAAAAAACCAACACCACAAAACACTTAAAGGTACAAGACACTAAAAAGTGATTATTTTTGTTGTCTGAAGAAAACTAGAGATGTTTACTGTGAAGTCCATGTCTGTTTAAATGATGTATAGTTCCTGCTCTTGAGTTAGATTATACTCCTGCTTTCTGATTATTCACAGCTACAAACAAGGACATGGTACCTGAGCTAAGTATCCTCAGTAGCACCGGTTTCCTGGCCTGGGGAGGGAGGGGTGCAACACCAACAAAACCAATGCAAGCAAAACTTAGTTTGTTCCTGACTTCTAATCAAACAGGAGGAAGGAGGGTGGAAATACCTTCTTCAGGACTGCATGAATCTTGAAACTTAAAGCCATCTCTATGGCAGTCAGTATTTGCATTAATCCAACTTCTTTTGTGGTTTCATAATTAGTCATTAATCTGGGATAACTTTTCTCTTGGAGAAGAAAACTTTGGTAAGCTCTTAATAATGTAATGACACACAAGAGAAATACTGCCAAGTAACTTGGTCATAAAAATATAATTTCTTCTTGACTCTCCTGCAACAACATTGAAATCATTATGCAACAAGATATAAGGTCCCAGCTCTAAACTGCATCCACCTCTTATAAGTGTGCAGAGGCCTGAATGCAGTAGGCTTGTCAGGCATTCCCCAGAATGGAGCAGCGTGGCTCAAGTAGACACTGTCCCCTAGAGGAGTAAAGGCGATGATGAGGGAACACAAGTCCTAGAGAACTATTCCAGGAATGCTGGAGATCATTGTTTCTTTGCATACGCACATACTTACTTTCTTGGGAGACTCAGGAAAATAGATAAATTGCAAAACTTTGATAGAACACCAGGAATTCCATTGAAATGTTATTTCTTACCCTGAGGTCTCTTTGACCTCAAAGAGCAACAATGTTTGTCTCTTACCCTGGCAGAAAAGGAAAAGCAACTGCAAGAAAGTTCACCTTCATAGTAGTAAGATTTGAGCCTGGATTTCTGTAAGAGCTCTCAAACTATCTTTCTGTTCATTTGTTACTGAAAGGGTCTTGGTTCCTAGTTTGTACTGTGTCAGTTCTTGTGCCTACCAGAGTCATTAACCAATTATACTAAGTAGTTGGGAGGTGCAATGTTTTGCTTTCCAGCTGAAGGAGGCTTGAAGAATGTCCAGTGAGTCCTGGAACCAAAGTGAAGGAGGGCTAGAACTGCATTGCAAGGAATAAGTAAGACAGTCTGGTTTTGGCAACAGCTACCTTATTTTCTCAGCAGCTCCAAGCCAACAAGTCTAAGCTTCATTCTCAAAAGCTTGGTGTAGAAAACTAAGGTTAATTTTTATGTAACTTAACACTTGCCTCAAGCTGGGCAAGACCTCCAATTACCCTGTGTTGCTTTTTCCAGTGGCCAGTGTAACTTATTTTCTTGTTTTCCAGCCCAATACACGTTGAGGTAAGCTAAGAGACTGCCTGCATGTCTGTCTCTTCTATTGAGATGGATTTTTAACATTTTAAGAATCAAGCTAAAGCTCTACTGAAACGAAACAAAACAAATTTATTTGGCCAGTTTTTAAAATAACCTGAGAATCTGTAGTAATAGTGACACTGATAATTGTTTTTTTCCTCACAGAGCAGAGTATGTGACTTGGTAGCATGAAGCTTCTTTAGTAGGATGACTTTAAGGGCAATTTTCTGGTCGGGGTTAAGAGCACCCTGCTCTAAGGCAACCACTTAGCAGATAGCACTTACTGTTAAGATAGTATCAGCTAATGTAGCTGAGTGACAACGGGGAGACTAAGGTCACTTTACACTACCAATTCATGATCAACCTCTTCCTTGTGTTAGTATATTACTCCTAAATTTTGGAGGGAAGGTAGCACCAGTTCATACATTGTTTCTGCACTGTGGAATAATTATTTCTTTGCCACAATGAGGTGCAAATGCTTATCTGAAGAAGGTTCATGTACCTGACTTATTTTCATATAAATATTACTACCTCACAAAGGAAAGTGGTGGCAAGGAGTACCTGATTGTAATTGCAGCTATTTCTGCTTGCTTGTTGGAGCTTTTTTATTAATTTTGTGGTGCACAATATCCCATGAAGTACAACTGCCTTTCTTAAAGTCTCCATTCAGCAGTGTATGTATATATAGCTGTAGGATGCAGAAGCAGAGATTCAGAAATTTACAAGGAATTGCTGTGATTGACCTGTAATGGACTTGACGTATATAAATTGTTCAAGTGAGGTAAATGTGCATGGAATGAAGTATGATACAGACAGCTCTAAATGTCAGCTTACTATTGTAAGTTTGTTATTGGTAGGATAGGGAGTCAAGCTTTAAAAGGTTTACTAAATATATGTATTTAATGACTTTCTTACATACTTCTAATATCAGTTGAATAGAAGACTAACATTCCCACCAACAACACATGTTGGGAATTCCACATCCATTCCTTCGTGGTTTTATTTGTAGGGAAACAGAGTCATAGAAATAACTAACCTTTGAGCCTAACTTGTAGTTAACCTCTGGAGGGTCTTAGCATTGTTTTAGCAGAGTGGCCTGTAATAAACCCCATCATGTTATTGGCTTTTAAGGACAGTCCTTCTCTGCTGCAGTACTGTGGGTTTCTCACAGACCCAGACTGTAATGGGTTGTTGTTTTTTTTGTGGCATTAGATGTATTGCTTCACAAGCAGCCCTAACTGGAGAGTCTGGAATGCATACTCCGGATCTCTCAGTATATTCCCTTAATCAGGATCCGACATTGAATGTCTTCAAATATTTTAAATTTCCTTCCAGAAATAATGCAGAGGGTGCCTACAGCTTCTCCCACCCATCCCCATTCCATATCTGTTAAATTTAATCTTAAACTTCATTCACAGGTGCCCAGGAATAACTTCTGGTTTTGACAGTCAACACTACAAGGTTCACAATGTGAAGCTGATAGAGCCACTCTGGTTTGAATCCTTAATGTCTTTCCATAGCAAGTCTGCCCTAGTTTTAGAGCAGGCAAACAAACTGCTGCTTCATCACAGGTAGTCTAGTTAAAATAGTATCAAAGAGCTTAAATTAGAAGTTCTGACCTAGATACTAGTATCAAAACTTCTTATAACTTCTTCATGGCATGATGATGAATTTATGGCCTGAATTTGGAGACTGGATCTCAGTACCCTCTCAAAGGCAACTAAGGTTTCACCCTCTCTTAGGTGACAGACTAAACTCTGCACATATTAAGAAGTATGTTTAAGCTTCCCCATTCAGGTCTTCACTGTGGTCTTTTAACCAGTAGGGCTGGGGAAGTTTGAAAACAAACCAACCAAAAAAAAAACCCTCCACAACAAACCAACCAACGAACAAACCCCACCACTGATTTATAATGAAAGCTGTTCCAGAAGTGAGCAGAGCTAGTCTTTTTTTTTTTCCTCCCTCCCCACTTTCCAGATTCCCTTATATTTCTGTTTCCTATCCTAAGGCAATCTTACAATCATCTGTTACAGATATTTTTATTTTTACCTTGAAACCTGGTGATAATGCCTTTCTTTTTTGGTTGCTTTCCAACTAATTTATGAAACTTTGTTCCAGTGAAAATAAGCAACTTTAATCGTGCGAAGCCAAGACCTGACATAATTGAAGAAGAAAAGATGTATGCCTACCCTAGCCACATTACCTCAGAAATTGGATTCAGGTAAGATTTTCTGTATTAATCTTGTGCTGTGTTCAGCTATAGTATGTAGGTAACACTAATGTAATTGTATTATTTTCTGTGGACTTACATAAAATCTTAAATCTGTCAACCAAAGCAGAGGTGGAAATAATAGTTTTGAAGGAAACTATATGCTTAAGGCTGGTATTCTACATGCACAGATAAGAAGTAGCACAAACTTGTACTTTCTACCCAGTAGTGGCAATTCTTTATGATACGGAAATCCTCCAATGATTTGACCATTTATAGCTGGTTGTACGAATCTTTAACGTGCTATAAATAGCTGTGCTTAATCTGTGTTAGTTGACTTTATATGGGAGTTTAAGAAGAGATACTGGTGTCTTACACAGTTACTTAAAGTATGCCTACAGAAGCCCAGCTTAGAATCATAGAATGGTTAAGGTTGGAAGGGATCTTACAGATCACCTGGTTCCAACCCCTGGCCAGTCTCAGACAAGGAGCTATACTGTGGGCAGTTGATAGATGAAGAAAACCTTGCAGCTTTGTTCTTTCTGTGCCAGCAGTTGGACATGAGATTCCAGCAAGGGATTTAGAATATGCTTCCAGTTTGGGAAGGAACTTTAAAGGTGGGTAGGGCTCTTAGGAGGTAAGGAAGGTCTCAGTGAGACAGAGAAGCTATCTAAAATAACCTCACAAGTGCTGAGACTTACTGTTTGTCCTCTGTGTACCTTCTTACTGCTTGAACATATTCCAGTTGTTGAAATGAGTCTGGTATGACCTAACAAGAACCAATCATCAAAACTAACATGGTTTTCCATATAAGAATTTATTTAGGAATTTTCTATTGCAGTATGACTTCCTTCTGTTTGTGTGCCTTAAGAAAAATTTGAAGTGCAGAGATGACTAATACTTTGGCACTTCCCCTGACGTCACAAATGCAGCACACACATGCTTTTATGGAACTTGGAAGTAGATGTCCAGGATACAGGAAGGATTTAGAGTTGTCTTGAATTTTGTTACAATGTCGGACTTCCATCTTGATTTAAACACCATGGGCAATGCATGGTGGACCTCATTCCTTTCTCGTTCAGCTTCTCCCCTGAGAAATTCTCAAATGCCCAGAGAATGAGTTTGCAACAATGACCAGCTGAGGAAAAGACTCTGATTTTTTGATTAAAGAGTGCAAGCTTCCTGTGAGAACTCATTGCAAAACAGTTATTTTAATTCAGCTCTATACAACTCTGACTCTCTTTCCCTTGAGAGTTAGGGTCTATTGAAAAGTGAATCCTGTCAGCCCTTCTGTTGACCCTGGTTATAAGAATGTTTTTTGAATATTATGACCTCTACAACTTAAGCTACTGATCAGGACCTCTTCTGGTGCTTTAGGTTGGTAGTACAGGTAACTAGTTAAGGTTGCAAGCATTCTATCTACAAAACCCATTTTCTTTAGTTTTTCCAGTTTAACTGCAGTAGGTTTTTAATTGGACCTAAGCTTTTTTTTTTGTACTCTAGCAATCCTCCTCTGCACATTCAAGGAACTATAGAGAGGGCCATGTTCCTCCACAAAATGCTGTAAGTCTGTCTACTCTAGCAATCCTCCTCTGCACTTTGAAGGAACTATAGAGAGGGCCATGTTCCTCCACAAAATGCTGTAAGTCTGAGGAGCAACTTTCTAAGCTCCAAGATGCTCACATGTGTACTAAGAGGGCAGACTCCCAAGATCTTAGTTAAAACGAAGGATGTCTGAAAGCTGGGGGTATTTGAAGTGGGAGGTTAGCTGTACATAAGGCTGTAGATCTGAAATAGCACAACTGTTTGGTGCTGATGCTGTTATGATATTGGTACAGATAATATCACTGTATATAATAGTACATCATGGTGTGCTACTGCAGGTTAATCAAGAAACTTCTGTCCCAAACAGAAAAGGTGCCATGGATTTCTTAGCACAATTTTGGCATGTTGTCTTGCTCACTAATTTTAAGTTTGTTAAACAGTAAGAACCCTCATACTACTATAAGTTTTCTGTAACTGTGTAGCAGGAAATGAGTGACTCCAGTTGTGTATACATAGCATGAAGCTTAGCCAAACTTTTTTTTTCCTCTTCTTGCCTTCTTATGCAAAATAGAGGTTAAACATAAGTGTTGTAAATTGTCTTCTTCAAAAGTTAGTTGAGATCAACAAAAGCAAAATTAAACATAAGTGTTGTAGATTGTCTTCTTCCTCAAAAGTTAGTTGAGATCAACAAAAGCAAAACTGAAGGAAGCAATTTGAATATTTGTTAATTAGCTCTGACACTTTGTATATTAGAAAGCTGCTGTCACTTTGTGAAATCCATATCGACTTTTGTTATTTCAAGGGAAAATTCAAGTTTAGAAGAGATAGTTGAGAAGCAAGGAGATGTAATAGAGTATCTTCAGAGACACAATGCACTGCTCAGCAAGAGACTATTGGCACTAACATCTCAGCAAATCAAAACTTAACAACATTTGGAAAACTGCTGCTGGAGCTCTGGAGGGAACATGAGGTAACGTAATATCCAGACTAATTTGTACAGACGACTCTTCCTCAGTCATATTTCATGCTTTGAAATGGAGGTTCAGCTGGAAGGATGAGCTCTGCATAAATAAACCTGTTACAACTGGACACTCTGGCTCTCTTCAAATCATCAGTTCTGAAAAAAAAGTTCTGGAGCTTCAAGGATTTTTAATTCCTAATATGTTAAAGTTGGATCTGAGGTAATGGTTTAACTTTGTTCAGTTGTAGCTATTATTTTGTACTGTTGTAACCTTTAAGCTTCCAACTACCAAAGTATTTTATATTTCTAGAATACAAACCTTTTCTCTAGAAAAATCTGACTTTGCAAAGGATATCTTTTTAGTTTCTAGTGCTCAACCTGACACTAGATGTGTTCTGTTACTGAGTCCCATTACTTCCAGTGTTAGAGATGGTGTACTTCAATTATCCTATACAAAGTAGGTGCTTACTTTCTAGATTGGACACCTTTTCTCCGTTGTCAAGAAAAGGCATGAAACTGTTGCTTGTGCCAGTGGGGAAATCTGGTATCCAATTTAGGATTTTAAAAAAAGTGGTGTGTGCCCCAAAATGGCAAATTGCACAAAGTGTGTGGTACAAAACAATGTCATGATACGCAGTTGAGTGGTTGTTCAGAAATCTGGCTTTAAAACCTGTAAGAGGGACCTTCAGGGCTGACGACTTTCCTGCTACTAGGGGAGTCTGTGTCAGCTAATAATCAACAAAATTCCTGCTCTTCCAACTGAACTAACTTAATACAAAAAGAAAAAAAAAAAATTTGAGAATAACCTTTTAAATTCACCTGGTAAGTAACTGTTGAATGGGTTTTAAGATCTTGTTAAAGATGTATCAATTACATGCATCCTTGCTCTTTGACTCTTCAAAACAATATCAACATCTTGATTCAAGAGCTAAAACGGCGTATGTGGGGAACTGAAAAGCAGCAGAAGACAGGTTCTTCTAGAAGGTGGAAAACCACGAATTTTTGGTTCTGTTTCATGGATTTATTGGGAAGGCTGGTAAAGGAACCATTCTGTTCTGGGTACTATTTTGTCTACCAGTGTAGACCGAGAATTATTTTAGAAGCCAATACCTCTGTGGGGAGACAGGGTAATCACAGGTCAAAACTGGGAAGAAGGGTCTCATGAGCGGTCTTGGAGTTAAATATAAGAAAAACAGAAGAAAATGAATCCATCCTACTTTGGTTCTAGGGCACAACTTCAGAAATAGCTAAACTGTTTAGTGTGCAACAAACATGGGGGTTGTCTCATTTAAAGGAAAACAATAAATATGGGAGGTTTTGCTGCTATCCAACACTAAACTGTTCTCCTTAACTGTTTTTTTCTTGAAAATGCAGCCAGGATTTTATAGTACATATGTGAAAAATACAAATGTTTTTGTTTTAGAACTTGGGTTTTGTTGTGATTGTGTATATCAATTTATATTTCTATGAAAAGCAGTAAAATGTGACTGTGAAGTTCATGCACAATAAATGCAACTATGGAAAGGTGTGAATTCTGTCGTTTCTAAGCTCATGTACAGCTGGTGAAGATTGTTCCAGCAGGCCATCAGCATTTTTTCTGTTACACTGAGGTTCTCACAGTGTGATTTTTGGCACTTAAAACTAGCCAAAAACCGCTGTGGCAAAGATAGCTGTGCACATGTTTTGAAGCTTTGTTTTATTCTCCTTCCCTGGGTCATGTTTTTCCATTGCACTTCAGCCTTTCCCTGCTACTCCTGTTCCTCTCCAACACAGAGGAACAGGCAGCATAGTGTAGCAGAACAACTTCAGTGTGCGTGGAGGGCATTGCTCATCCCCTCCTCTCCTTCATGGCTACTTGAGGTGAAGCTTGGATGAACCAGCAATATGGCTTTCCATGGCACAGGTGTAAGCAGTGTCCTGCCCTTTGTATGTCATAGCTCTTGAAGTACACAAATGCTTAACAACTTGTGGGCAGGGAGATGTGATGGGCAAAGCCCATGCCCAAAATGTGACATCAAAGGGGCAATGGCTGCTGTTGTGCAAGTGAGGGAGTGTGCAGGTGTTGCCATGCTGCATCTGGCAGAGCTCCCAGTTGCAGTTTTTTGGGTTATGCCACACCTTGCTGATCTTAACCTTACCCTTAACCCTCACCCTCTGCCAGTGTAAGGCGCTGTGCTGCGTGTTGTAAGTGGCCAGTGCCATCTCGGTGGCTTTGGAGCTGCTTTTGGTCTATCACCAAAAACGTAGCCTGGGTAACTGCCCCTGCAGCCCCCAGCCTCAGCACCGGGTTGCAGGCTGGACCTGTGCTATCCCAAGTGAAATCCATAAAGACCCTCACATTCAGTAATTAGGGATAAATTTCTGGAAAAAGAGAAAGTATCACCTAAGAGCAGAGTGATTTGCACGTGCTTGGCTGTGAAGCCATGCTTTGCTGCAAACTATTGCAGATCTTCTGGGCATGGTGTGGTGAACCTGCACGTAGGTGAATGCATGTGAATCTGAACAGCTTAAGAAATTAGTGATGTTCTTTATGTAATTACAGCTGATGAAATGCATAAATATTTGCAGATCCATGATCTTAACTTGGTGTGGTCTGGTGGATTTCAGCCAGGGCGGCAAGAAGATAATGGAATGTTTCCCAATATATCACAGAATGATATGGGGTTGGAAGGGACCTCTGGAGATCATCTAGTCCAACCCCCCTGCCAAAGCAGGTCCACCTAGAGCAGGTTGCACGGGAATGTGTCCAGGCGGGTTTTGAATGTCTCCAGAGACGGAGACCTCTCTGGGCAGCCTGTATGTTGCAACTGTACATCAAAAAATAATAGTATTCTATTTTTTATTTTGTTTTTATTATTATTCAGTTTGTACCCAAATAGCTTTTTGTTTCTATAGAAAAACGTGTGTGCTTTTCAGGTTTGGGAAGACAAGTATTTCAGACTACTTAAGAAACTTAAAAGATCCAGAGTTGCCCAAAAAATGTTCATGGTGTGGATTTTTTAATAATTTCTAGATTAAATACTGAAATGTGCTAAATGTTTTGTATTTTCCTTTAAAGAAGACTTTGATCTCTGGTGAACACATATCATATATAAGCAAAACACTCAGTTGATACTTGTGATTTATGTTTTTGAATAGCAATTCTATATAAGCACTTCAGTATTTCACCTTACAAAGGTGAAATTGATTGCAAAAGACTGTAATGGGAATTTCTCGCTTTAAGGTTCTACACGAATATACAGTTAAGCAGGCTTGGCCCACTGAAGGTCATTCTTAATATAAAAAAGAAAGTATCAAGGACCCAAGGTGCTTGGCCAGGCAACAGTCTAACCTTGACGTAACTGGAGAGATATGAAAAAGCATCCTCAGTGTTGGAAGGAGTTAGGTTTTTAGGTATTACTGCTAACTAAAGACATACATTGTGCTGTCTGGGCTGTTGGGGTGTTACCCTCTTGGCACAAATATTTTGCAGCTTGATCACCGGCAAGAAAGATAAAAGCCATGGACAGTAGTGAGAGATCAGTGTAATAATTGTTCTTGCCTGATGATGGTCAAACGTTTGAAAATTATTTACCATACCGATGCTTCTCCTGATTGATGTTGATATAAATCTTATGTGACCCTTAGCAAAATTTGGCTTCATGTCTACAGATACTGAGATATTTATAGCATATGTATGTGGCATAAGGGAAATATTTCCAGTCTTTATTCTTCTAAAATTTCCTTTCTTCTATACTGGAAAGGAAAGAGGTGAATTGTTTATTATCCTTTGGGAACACACTAATCTGCTGTTTCTCACTGCAGCTTTACATTTACCTCTTATTTCCTGTTGACCTGCTGCTACGTCATTTTGTATTTCACTCTAAAATAGCCTATATAATTTAAAAGACTTAATGAAACTGACTTTCAAATAAAATTTAAAGCTTTCCTATGTAACTCTACAAGACAAGGAGTTAATTCTAAGTTTCAGAAAATTGCATTTTGTCTTTTTGAGGTCTGAGTTTGCCTTTGGATCAAGTCTTCTGTTAGATTGCATCCGTGCAAACATTTATTCTGACTTTCAAAACACAGCAATTTGTATTTGTCCAAACTTCCTTTAAATGTACACTCCTATGTGTACATGGAGAGTTCAGTCAATTCAGCTGTTGTAGCCTGTGTCCAAATGCTTCATGTTTATATATGCAATCACACAGTTATCATGCAAAACCGTTTTTACCTGATGAAGCTTATGTTGCACAAGTCAAATGAAAATGGGTAATTTTAAGAAAATCAAAGGCAAGTCCAGCTCAGCTGAAGACAAGGTGCCTTTGAAGCCCTGCTCTCACTGAAGTTACTGTCAATGTAGTGTTGTGCATTATTGGACACCTTAATTCTACTGTGCGAGACATCTAGCACTTAGAAATTGATTTACAGTATCCAACCTTTACTGGGAGAAGTTACCACACGTTTTAGCTTCTGTTATGCTTTGGCCTGCTCCCGAGTTCTTTTGTCCTGGAATAAAGCCATTTTCTTAATTTATGAGAACATTCAGATTTCAAGATTTAACACTGAGGTAATTAAAAGTCTTGCTTATTCTAGGCATGAAGACAATGCATAATCTGGGTTCTGCTGTAGTCCTATCGAAGTGTTGTGATGTTATATTAGTGCTTGCTGTCATTAAACTACCAAATGGTAGTTTTATACTAAGTTCTTTCTGTATGGCTTTGTCAGAATTTTGTATTTTTGAAAGATAAAAATATTGAGGAAAACGTTGAAATGAATAACTACTATTTATTTGTGTCAGAAACTGAGTAAGAAAAATTCTTAGACACTGATTCCATAAGAATCCACAGGGAAGCAAGACAAATTATCTATTTTCTTTAGATAAACTGCCTGTAACAGCTGAAGAATATAAATTTTTAAACATGTCGATTTTATTTAAAATGAGACATTGTTATTTGAAGGTCATACTATCTTTTTACAAAATATACAATCAAACCAGCTACTTTATAAACATATCTGTCAAAGATCACAATCAGTGCCTTTTTCAAAGAAGACTTCTTGGTATCAGCATGTCTAAAAAGAAGAGACATTTACAATAATTTCGCAGACTGACAATGGGCTTCCTAGGACGCTTTGGTACTTGTGGTTTTTTTATTTTTACATCTGTAAAGAAACATGCACATATAGCTCTCTGGTAGATACATTATGCTTTTCTTACAATTTTATCAAAGTTAATTGAATAATTATGGTCATATAAAATATCCAGTGCACACTAAATTTATATACTCATTTATAAGACATAACTGTTAAATAGTTACTCTTCACTTTTCTTACTTTCTCATCCTCTTTACCTGTACTGCTAAACAGAGATAGCCGTGGATACATATGAAAGCTAAGTTAAATAAATAATTAAAAAATAAAATTAGTGGTAGTATGCCTCTAATTTTGGAAAACTTTATTTTTAAAAAAAAACTTCAAAGGTTTATCTGGAAGGCTGTTTGTTGGCATAGACTAGTTTTACCATCTTTTCACGACAATTTTCCAAAACCCCAGAATAGGATGTGATGTTAATTTTTTTTCTATACAGGGAAATTTGAAAATCTTGTTAAGCTCTACCAGTATAAATCTGATTGAGATTTCAAGTTCTTAGAGGGGTTATATACAGACACTGATTAGAAAGTTTTGTCTTCTAGTGTTCTTGATGTTTCAAGTTCTTAGAAAGTTTTGTCTTCTAGTGTTCTTGATTGCTGCTTTTTCACTTACTAGAAACTATGTGTTGGAAGACAAAATTCTAATACTGGATTTAAACCATGACACTGCTGATCTTCACTTATCTTTATACAATTTACAAAAAATGTTCGAGCTTTCCAGACTAGTGCAATGACTTAAAAGTCTGTGTATGACATTTTCAGATTTGGTTTAGTTCTGCTAATGAAAGGGCCAATGTGTTTTCCTTTATATGGAGGTTTGCAATTTCTGCTGATATAAAAAGATGTGAAACGTATATTTTTAAAAACAAAACATAAAATACAAGCTCAATGTGTTCTTGACCTCCAGTGCTGAAAAGAACAGCCCATTTTCTGTTTGAAGTTCTCATTCATTGTAGAGCTGTGTTCCAAATATCCCATTCATTCTAATTACAGGAATAGAGTACTACCTAACACTGGGGTTGACCAAACAAAGGTTCCTTTTCAATGGTCTATTTTTATGCTCTATTCATAATACTGTAGCGGGTATTTTAGGAAAACTACTATTAAGCAAATAGGTCTATAGTACTGAATTTTCAAGTATGTTTAACTGTCTGGTTTGGCAGCCCAGTTTAAGAAAACAAATGATAGTCTTGGCAGTAACAGCTCATTAGGCAGGAGGATGGGCTTGACCTTAAGGCCTGACTTGAGGGGTCCGAGTTATCAGTTTTGCATGACCCTTGGCTAATCTCTTATCTCTGTGTGCTTCAATTCTCTATCTACAGAATGAGGGATAATACTGTCTTTGCTTGCTTATATTGTAAAACCCCTACTGTGCTTACTATACATGAAGCCAGTAGGACCACTAATGTGGTGCTAACTTTGGTACTATTACAGTTATACATTCTACGTTATTATTAAGGTAATTCCATAAAGATGTAATGTTAGCTGTTAAAACATATATATATTTATTATGAATATTAAAAAGTATAAACTGAAAATGGACTTCACAGTTCTGTGCTGGATTCTGATGTATTTTACTGTAAATACTGCTTTGCACACAGCCTACATTGAATAGTCAACAGCACGTCCAACTTCTCTCAGTCTGAACAGAACAGACCATTAAGAGTCCCCTCTGACAGATCCTTCTTAATGTCACTGCAAATCCATCTCAGGCACCTGGTGTTTGATTTGGTCTTTTAACTTTCACTGGTCATTATGAGAGCCAAAGAACTGATAGGGAATTTTTCAGCCAGATGAGTTTCATGTTCATCCCCCCATCACCACCCTCCGTTTCTTCTCCCTCCCTCCCTCCCTGGGGTGTGAGCCAACAGCCTTTGTTCCAGGTCTTGCAGAAGGTGGCAGTCAGGACTGCCAAGATGGGGCTGTGGTGGCTCTATCAGTCAGCTGCTGTCGGTCTGGACTTCTGACTAACTTCTCCATCAGTTTAATTGTTTCTCCTTTAAAACACTGAAAAGCCCATTATGAAATTGCTGGGGAAAAAAAAAAAAAAAAAGGAGACAATTAGCCATTAATGAGAGATTTAGGAAACTGTCTCATACAAGAGAGAATGTATTAATTATGAAATAGATGGTTGAAATCTGGGGTTATGTTTCTTGCTTTGGACATTGCAGCTAAAAATGTTAAAAAAAAAAAAAAAAGTCAAACTGCCAAAAGCAAGTATATTAGGGAAATATAAGGGGGTTTTCCACTTTTTATCCCATGCTTTGCCTACGTAACTGATGAAAAACCAAGTTCATTTCAAATGTTGTTAGGAAAAAGAGAGGCTGCTACATTCATCCCAGTTTCCAACCACCTGTTGAGATTCAGGCTTAAGGGTCCATCCTGTTTGCATCTGCAAATAGCTTTATCCATACGTACAGCTCCATTGAGATCAATAAGATTACTCTAGTGAGTCAAGTTACCCAGGCATGTAAATATTTACTGAATTAGGACTAAAATTGGAAGGGAATGTAAACGTAGATGGTAAATCCTACTTAAGATAAAGGAGCTGAGCATCCACAATGACTGGAGTTAACAGAGTTGGCTCAGGTGCCTGTTATTCCCCAGTGAAACTTTATGTATTTCTAAACATCTTTAAAACGCAGAATTATCTTTAGCTAAATATCTACAGGATTTATTATGAATGAATAAGTACGATGTTTTGCTTCGTTACTGACTTTTGTTGCAAGAAATGAGCTCCCCACACAGGAGAAAACAGTGAAAATAGCTTTTATCTGTACTGTAAGTGGACGTGTATTGTGCAGCTTCTGCAGTCTCAAACAAAATGCATTATATACTGCTTCAGAGCACATAAAACAAAATGTAATTGTTTTCTGCACACACAATCTCCAGATTATGGATGATAGAGGAAGGGGGGTTAAATCTACCTTTTTTAGGAGCTGAAGCAAGCCATTCAGAAGGATTCAAGAAGTTGCTGGACCTAAATTCCACTGTCCCAGTCATTGAGTCTGCATGCGGAGTGAATTGATCTGATTGCTTATCTTTTTAGGTGTAGGCTTAAACTGATGAGGGAATCTCATTTAATCTGTCTCTTGTTGGAATGAATGCAGTAAAGAGACATGGCATTCAATAGTAAAGCATCCTCCTGGCATTTCTCTCTTTCTACTTGAAGCTCAGTTCTGCCAGCAGTATGCAGCCCATCTGAGATTAAATTTGAGATATGGTAATCTTTTTTCAGCCTCACAAAGTTGCCAATTTACCACCATCCCATATGCACATTCCATGTGTTTATAGGCCAGGGCTATAGAGTGGAATGGTACCTTTTGCATGGCTGTTTTGGGAGTGGTGTAGGCCCTTTTCACCCAGGCAGTTTATGCACTGACAAAATTCTTGGTATGGGGTTGCTAAAAGGTTGACTTTGGTCTCCTTTTCACTGTTAACCGCTTAGCAAATCGAAACATCTTGGGTGTACAGAGTGCAGGTCCTACCCTCATTTATTTATCGCGCTGTCACGCCTGGGGCTGCAACATTATTTTAATATATAATGAGTTTTAGAAGATGCAAAACTACTGGCCGCATGTTTTATTCATCCCTAAATTGCAGGAGCTCCTTGGTTTCCTTTTGATGCCTGCCCTATTTGCATATGCTACCTGTGTGCTTCTGCAGCCACTTAGTATTCGAATGTATATGCCCTCATCAGCTATAAAGCATTAATGCTTTGCACTTGTATAGCCTTTCATCCAAGGAGCTCAAAGTCTTTTGCTGACAATGATTAAGAATTGCAGTCCCCTTTGAAGTGGGTAAATGCTCCTACCTTCGTGTTACTGACGGGCAGAGCGGGGTGGCTTTGCCCTGCGTCCACCAGGAGAGAAGTCTCAGAACTTCTCCTCCTGGAGCATCCTCTCCAGCCACCGCTCCGCGCAGCCTTTAGGCTCGTTGCGGCGTTTGCCCCGCAGCTTTACCAGTAGCCTTAAACCTTTGCAGGGCGGCAATTTGTCCTGTTTAGCAGACTGGGTTGTTTTCCACTCTGCCTTAGCCGAGGTGTTTGTGCCGGGGGGCGATGCCCGGGTGGGGGGCGTACAACGCGGAGGTGGAGGCAATGGGAACCCGCACCCCGGGGGACGCTGGGTGCCCGCCCCGCCATCCGCCTGCGCGGCCACGGCCCCGTTTTCCCACCGGAGACCAGGTGAAATCACAGCTGTGGCTTGGCTTTCTTCAAGCGCCTCTTAAAAACTGTCCCGAAAGGCGGGTGGCAATTAAGAAACGCGCTGATTGCGCAGAGCGCGCCCGGTCCCAGCCCGCACGGCGCCCCCGGGGAAGGCGACCGGGAATTGCCCCTCTCCCGGCGTTATTACCAGACACGCGTGGGTTCTTACCTGTCTCAGGGGAAGGGCACCCGGGAGTGGAGCGGCATGCAGCGCCGGTGGGAGCAGCCGTGCCGGTGGAGCTTCCTGCGCAGGGCCAGGTTGGCTGTGGAGGGAGGGAGACGGGGGGACAGTCAGGGAGCGGGGTGGGGGGGGGCTGGTGGCCGGCAACGTGCTCCGGTAGCCACGGCGCGGGGGCCAGCGGTCCTACCCTCCCCGGTGCTCCTGCTGTGCCGGCGGTGCTGCTGGGCAGCAGGTTGGCACCAACTGCCTGCCCCGAGCCCCAGTTTATTCCCGCCCACCCCAAAGTCCCGGGATAAGATGCCCGATGCCCCAGCGTGGCGCCGCCGCTACCGGTAGGGATGGAGCGCGCAAAACGCCGCGTTAACACGCGTAGCGGCAGAAATCGGGCAGCTACAGACTTGTCGCGAAGGGCAGGAACGGCGTGTTGGCTGGGGTTAGAGAAACACGCCGGAGGTGCCCACGGCAGGCACGAGTTCCGTGTGTCCCCCCCCCGCCCCCCGGGCACACGCAGTCACGGGGAGGCATCGCTTACCCGGCCTCTGCCCGCCGGCGCGGAGGAGGCTCGCCAGCAGGAAAAACACGATGCAAAGGAGCAGCTGGAGTCTCATGGCTGCGGGCAGCGTGGAGCCGCGCTCTGAGGGTGCGGGGAGATGTATACGGGCGAAGAAACGTATAGAATACCGCGGCTGTTAAGCGGCCGGCAGCCCCCGCCCGGCTCACATCCCAGTGACAAGCTGGGGAGCCAGCCGCCTTCTCCTGCCAGGTTACTGGTCAGGCAGGGGCAAGGTTCCTGGGTTGCAGTGCGGTCGGTGCCTCCCTCTCTTCCCTTCTCTCTTTCCTCTCTTTTTTTTTTTTTTTTTTTTCCCAATGTGTGTGTTCTGGGGTTTCTGGGGGAAAAAAAAAAAAGACCATAGGGAGGAACACAGACCAATTGCTTTAAACATCTGATGTAGATTTCATTCAAAGGAGTATGGTTAAATGCCTCAGCTGTTTGTATGACATGCAGAGGTCAATGAAGATTTAAAGAACTAGCATACTGTGATTCTACCCTGCCTTGCTAAGAAAAATAGGCCATAATAAATGCTATTTTCCTTCTTTTCCCTTTTTTTTTTTTTTTTTTTTTGTCACTCCCCCTTATTTTCCATAAGCAAACAACGCGGGAATGAAAAGTCCGTGTAAACAGCAGCTTCTGTCAATGCATCAGGGCCGAGGAGCCTCTCGAACAATGCAACGACTTCTCTTTAAATTCAAGCCAGGCAGGGGGAAAAAAAAAAAAAAATATGTAAAACAAGCCCCGATGTTCCCTCCCCCATTTGCAACTGTTTAAACTTTGCATTGCCCATATTGGTCCCACATGCAGAAGGCGCTGGCAGCGGCAGGAAGCCCCAGTGCTCCCCCCTCCTCTCCCCGCTTTGTCCCTCCCGCAGGCGCGGGCTGGGCAGTGCCCCCCGAGCGCTCAAATGCTCGCTCTCTTCTCCAAACTACCTGTCAAGCTGTGGCTATTCACAGTGAAACTGGTGGCAGTTAAGGTTAATGGGTGTCTTTTGTACCCTCAAGTATTTTTAAAGGATCGGAATATTCTGGAATTAATTGAGAGGCTTGCTTCTTTTTTTTTTTTTTTTTTTTTTCAGGAGACACACCAGAGATGTACAGGGGAACTCAGACTATGCCTGAACATCCCTCAGGACACAGCTTTTTTTTTTTTTTTTTTGTTTTTTCCCCTACGGTGCCGGGTGAAATAGAATTATTCAGCAGTATATTTGTTAAACAGGGCCGTTTCTGCGAAAGCTGTTTTGGACGGGAGGCTACATTTGCCCACCTGTACATGGCATTCTATTTGTACTAGATTATGGTGAGAGCTCGCTCTAACAAACCGGGCTGGAAGCCGCTGCTGTGGTGAGAGCGCAGGTATGGCAGGGCTGAGGAGAAGAGAGGCAAACCCTGCCAGATGTGCTAGCAGCAGCACTGGTTTTGAAATCCCAGGAATTGCTGGTATCAGTTAAAATTCGACCGGTCCTTTTCTTATTTTCAACATGCTGATTTGTTGGGATGGAATAGTACCTGGTGATTTGGAAAATGAAAATGTGTCCCTTTTTGGAACAAAGTTTGTGTTTTAAAATAGGCATGAAAGAGTACATTTCTATGTAGATGAATACTACTAATATTAATAGAAAAGCATTAGCTAAAGTGGTCTGAAGTTTTCCATGAAGAGTGGAATATATGCTTTTTAGTTTAATTCCTCCTGTTTCCTCTGTTGTGGGCTTTCCCATTTTCTTCAAAAGCTTATTTAACTTGACAGGGCATGTTGGTCCCTCTTCAGAGCTATACATCATTACTGGGTTAATTTGTCTAAGTAAAGTATACCTGTATGAGTTAAAAGACAATTTGCAGCTTGAACACATGGCATAAATAGTTATTAAATGTTATTTTAAAATGATGGCAAGATTGCTGAGGAAGATGCCTCAGACAAAACAGTAACAAAGGAAATCCTTTACTGGTTGGTCACACTGGTCTGCCAATAAGCAGCCCACGCTTCCCGATGTTCATCTGTACAGCTTGCTTGTCATTATGTTTTCTCTGTACCATTTCCAGTCTTTAAACTGGACTTCTGTTAATATTAATGCCATCAGCCCAGCTGAAATCCGGGTCCCATGGTGCCAGTGACAGACTAGTCCTAAAGGAGGTATCCTTTCAAATAGAAAGGTGATGGAGAAGGAGAGAAGTGGTGTGGCCAGGTCATGCAGTGAATTTTTGACACAGTCAGGGTTACATCCCCAAAATCCTAAATCGCACTTTGGCACCATCTTCCCCAGGATACTCTTAGGGATGTGTTCACTTGTTCACCATGAATGAGAACATGCTGGTCACCTTGTTTGTACAGCCCTCTGTAAATGATGATGACTTTCATTCAGCAGTGAGCTATATAAGGTTCAGACTCATAATCTGAAAGTGAAAAGTAGTGTAGCCTTCAAAGTGATAGGGACTCTGTAAATAGCTAAAAGGGCAGAAAGAATGCATAGACCATTGCCAGTCCCTCGGGCTATCTAGGCCTCTTCTGCACCTGTATGTGGTGAAGTTCACAGACATTCTGAGGACACATTAAGTTTTAAGGGAATTGAGTAAGATACAATAATTAAGTGCAATATTTATCTTTGGTTTTTTTAACTTTAGTTTACTATGAGCTGTTAATTCCGCTGCATGATTGCTCTGTGCAAAAGTTCACGAAAGTCTATTTGACTAATAAAGTCTAAGTCACTGTAACATGAGCGTCACAGATTTCTTGTAATTTTCATGTAAGCTACAATAATAATTTGATGCTTACCCACTGAAGAATTTCTAAAATGTATTAGTCCCACTCTAGAAGTTCTAATTCTTTTGCAAGAAGCTTTCTTTCAGGTACTTTTTCAGGTACTTATTTTCATGTGCCATACCACTCTATGAAATTAGACAAAGAACAACTAGGCAGAATGTAGTCATGTAATAGTTCTGCCTTTTTCGTAATGTTTGCTGGTAGGTTTTGTGTTCTGTTTTTGTTTTGGTTTCCTTAAGAGGAAAGGGAATGTAAAGTACATAGGAAAGCTGGAGGTCTGTAGATAATGCTTTATGAGCTAGAATTGGTTCTTTGAATCAAAAGCTTCCCTTCTCTCTCTATAATCTGAAAGGAACATCACAAAGGGCTGATGATTTTAGCATTTATGACCCATATCGTTGCTATTTTTCCAGCAGGCACTCTTTTCCCTACCTCCTCTTTGATAGGATCAAAATAGTCAAATTACCAGTTTACTTCCAGAAAGCGAAAAAAATAGCTAGCACATTGCAGAAATAATTTCAAAAGTTACAACAAGGAAAATTAGGGCTGCCTTTCCTAAATATCAAACATTAACTCTAAATAACACATATGACATTGTCTTTTGCTTGTCACGTTTCAGTAAGTCATATTCAGTACTGTATCTCTTCACTGGATATAAACTGTTCTGCATGACATTTTCAGTACAGAGTGACTATTACAGTCTATGTGGGGAAAAAGAATTTGAAATCATTGTGCCACTTCTAAGAATAAGATTGGGAGAAATAAGAGAAAAGTGACTGAATGAGTATCAAATTTTTTTGCCACATATAGAAAAAAGTAAAATCTTTTGATAATTTAAATGAGAGAACAAGTCATTGGGAGCACAAAAGATAAAATAATGGGTAGAAGCAGTAAAATTCGTAGTAATTAGAAGTAGAATAAGCAGTTGGGTGATAACAGCAGGAGAGAAAGATAACCAGGCACTTTCTAGTAAGGACTAACAGATTAATTAGCATTCCCTATTGGGCTGCTAGCCAGAAACTGAATCTTACCTTTCCTTTGAAGGCCAGCACATAACTATAAACTCTAGTGTTTATTGTTAATCTCTGAGAACAGCTTTCAAATGCTATCAGTATAAAATGGTAAATGAAACTTCTGAAGTACAGGAACTAATTGTTATAAATGGCAATACTGGTTTCAGTCTCTGTACCTCAGATACCCCCTTGGATAATATGTCTTCCCTGCCTAGAGATCTGTAAAATACATTGATTATTGTGGATCTCTAATATGGTATGAGAAAACATGACCAATGCTCAGCGGAGTGAGAGTAACAATGGAAATTTTTGTTTATTTTGATGTAGGAGTGTCAGATAAGATGAAATATCAGAGTTTCTAATCAGTTTTTCTAACTTTGTGTTCCCCAAATTCATCCATCCTGCTGATCTGGAGCAATTATTTCACTAGCCAGATGAGACCAAGTATAAAGAAGTTTACTTCAAAAGAATTTGGTGAAGCAAATGATCAAGTTCAGTGGCAAATGTCATTAGGAAAAGTTCTGGGCTTTTCCTAGTTCCTCTCTATTACATTGCAAGATGGTATATAACTGTGCAAGACATGAGAGAAGAAAATGGAAAAAAAAAAAAAAGAAAAGTGAGTCACTGCTTGAGGTGAAAATGTTGGCAAAGAAATTCTCAAAGGGATACATTTTGAAATGTTGTTTAGGCATCTGTGATGTATTTTTTTCACCACAAATGTCATTAGGATTATTATCTCATGGTTTTATTGGGTCTATGGGCCAGCCACAAGTATAAAGGATGGTTTTTCAGCTCAGGGTATAGCATCAGAAGTGAAATAAAATGTTTGCCTTCTTCATTGACTATAGTCGAGAATGCTACTTTTTTCTGGACAAAACTTCATCAGCTCAAAAATTATGACCTCAGGAGAAAATTATGGACTTTCTTTCATGATCTTAATCTGTGCTTGGAAATGAAAATCTAGTCAGAAACTAAAACCCATTCCTCCTCTTTTGCATTTTATGATTTTTCTGGAGGGAAAAAGAAAAAAATCCACTTCCCTGCCTGTTTGTGCTCAGCTGCCTTTCCTGCCTGGGGGGTGACAGTGCTCCGGAAGAAAATGGTGGTCATCAGGCAGAAGGAATGTGCACCAGTAACCTGACACTGGAGACAGATGTGTTCAAGGAAAGGAAATGGGGGACGGCTCAGACTAGGCTAAACCTTGTGTAATTTTGATATTTTTTTTTTTCCCGTTTAGAGGTTTTCCATGTGCGTTGCAGAGATGCACAATCTAGAAAGTATGTTTTCTTTATTTTTAACTAGGAAGAACATTTGCTGTGTCCGTGGCAGCATCTCCAGGCTCTTGCTGCAGTACAAGTCATAATTTGAATTATTAGAATAATAACAAAAAGGAAAAAATTTTTCTTGTAGACTTCAATCTGTCTTACTTCTGTAACCCTACAATCTGTAGGGTTGATTTCATTTAATACGATGAAAGTAATATCAGCCATACACCTGAATAATCATAAAGTCCCTCCTAGACAAAT